CTTTCCTTTTTGTTTTAAACTCCTTCTGTATCTTGTCCTACTCTTCTCCTCCTCCTCCTCCTCCTCCTCAATGATTTCATCCCTCTTCTCCCTTTGCTTCCTGCCCCTTCTTCAGAAATCTTGATTTGGGCACCGTGATGCAGTGAAATATGATCCAGGACGGACAGTTTGAGTCATACGATCAGGGGTTGGGAGGCCTGGTCGACACCAGAGCACTGCGCAGATGTTGATAACACAGTGAGGACGGAGTTACAATCACGTCGACTCACTGTTTTTAAAAATCCTGTCTTACCCATCGCCAAGTAAAAAAAAAAACTGAATTTCTCCATCATTTTACAGCCTACCAGGAACGGGCACCTGCATGTGTGTGACTGGGCAACTTGCTGACAACAAGGACTTCTATTAAAGTTCGAACCGTGATTTTGAAAACACATTTTCACCAGATGTTCCTCACTTTCTGACTGTAACAAACGAAACATTGTTGTAAAAGTCAGTTAAAAAGGTCTCCAAACTTGCTGTCATTGCTTCTCCCTCCGCGCGTACCTGCTCAAGTAATGACAGCGCTGGCGTCGGCATCGGTGCATCCCTAGCAACTCGAGGACTTAAAATCAAAACACGGTGGCTCACAGAATTATGGAAAAGCCTCTGACTTCTTTATTATAAACGACAATAGTTTGTTTTGCTGGCCCCCAGAATTCTGTGACTTGTAGTATTAAACCACAATTGCAGCTTAAATCAACCAGGACTGGAAAGAGAGCACAATTAAATGTCTTAGTTTAGTCCAAAGAAAGCCAATAAACCTCAATATATTGTATTTAGTATAATGTAGGACCATGAAAATCAGCAGATTCTCCCATTACAGAACCTGGAACCGTCACATGCTTTTTATAAAATCAAGTTAATGTCTGTCTGGCCTTGTTTCCTCTTTCTTATCCCTTCTTCTTCCTCACGCCTGCTCCTTTCCCCTTTCGCCATCCTCCTCCTCCTCGTTCATCCCTCCCATCATCTTTTCTTCCTCGCCTCTCAATTGAACTTCCTTCCCTTGTTTTTTCCTAGATCCTCGTCTTCACCTCCCTCTCCACCGTGACATCCTTACTCCCGTCTTCCCTTTCTATTAACTTTCGGTATTTTCCTCTTCTTCATTATTCTCCCTTCTTCCTCCTCTCACCCTCTTCAGTCCTTTGCATCCATCATTTTTTTCTCTGATCTTTTTCACTTTCATAGTCCACCTCTTCACCCTTTATTATCCTTTTTTTTCCTCCTCATCTCTTTTGTCCTCTTCTTCCTCCTCTTGTCATCCTCTCACCCTCTTAACTCCCCCATCTATTCCTTTCTCTCCCTCTTTGCTCTGCATCCATCATCTTGTTCCACCTCTTCCCCCATTTCTTCCTCATCCATTCGTCTTCCTCTTCACTCTTTCCCCCTTTCCTCTCTCCCCACTCGCCAACCTCCTTTCTCCCCCTCTTCGCTTTCGTCTTCCTCCCACATCCCTCTTCCTCTTCCTCCTCCTCCTCCTCTTCCTCTATGGGCATGTGGCAGCAGACAATAGTTCCATTGTAAGCCCAGTGCTCTCCTCCGTCTCCTCCCTCCATCCCCTCCTCTTTTCCCCAGATCTATTTATTTTCACATCCTCGGTCGAGGGAGCTGTAACGGCGGCTGGGTACAGAGAGTTACAGCTAATTTGGAACAGAGCACACCAGAGAGACACGCTGTCTGAGAGAGAAAGAGATGGAGAGACAGGGAAAAAAATGAAGCGGGATAAGAAAGAAGGGGGAAGGAGGGACAAAGGGAAGGAAGGAAAGAAGAAGAACTTCTAATTTGTTCATCCACACACACACACACACACACACACACTTGCGAGGCTTCTGATTGAGTGCGAGCGCTCTGAGCCAAACATTTGATACAACAACATAATCCCAGTATCAGTATCAGGACTGCTGGACCACTGGGGTTTCCATAATCTCCCTTGTAATTAGTGGTTAGAGGAGTTAGTGGTTTGCTTCTTCAGTGACTGCAAGTGGATTTTCTATGCCAGTGATTCTCAAATTGCGGTCCCGGGACCCCCCACCTAAGGGTCACCGAAGGGTTTTCAAGGGGGTGTGGATGTGGAGTGAAACGTGGGGACTACGTGTGCCGAGTACGAGGTCCATCTGAAGGCAGATTCCACCACGTTTAAAGTGTTTCTGACGCGATTTTGTCAGCGTGGTTTCAATTTGATTGTTTGTTCTAACCTACAGGTGACAAATTGAAGGAAAAAAATATAGATTCTCTAAGTTTGAGGGCATCATTCAACCAAAAGGGGCATTTTGGTGATGACAGCAGAGAGCCCCTCGTTCCCCCGTAGGCAAGTATCTGCTTCTGCTGTGTTCCTCTCACTCAAATGAGCGGGAGAGCTTGTTGCTTGCCAGAGGACCTTTATCACTGGTCAACCGGTAACAGCAATGTTTTAGATTAAGAGAGAGAAATGATCCTCTAGTGACATCTAGAGGACAAAATAAATAAATAAATGGACAGCAAAGTCATTAGACCCTCAAATCTTCTTTCTTTCATAACTCTTGAGAGGAAGAAAGGTCAGTTCAGAAAGGCCCGAAATGTAGTATTTCCATTACTGTTGCTTTTTCATCTCAGTTTATTCCCATGTACATATGTCAAGAATACAGATATTTTGATGACCTGCTACTGCTGGGAGCCCAAAATAATGTGACACTGCATAAATTCTCCAAATGGATGGGAAAAATACAGGCCTCAAGGACACTGGTTAAAGAACTCCTCTCAACACTGAATAATATGCACATTATTTTCTTGAATAATCGTTTAATTGCTTGTCAGACCAAGAGACATGATATTCTCACAACTGAGATGCTAGAACTAGAACATTTTTCAAGTATTTTTACTTGAAAATGGGTCATTAAAGAGCACTGACCATTCTAGGATCTGTAAGAGAGATAACAGAGCCCTGAATACATCTGCCTACTACATTCAGAGGCTATTTTATTGTCAGGCACACCTCTCCAGGGCTGGTTAGGAACAGCCAGAATTCAACTAAGTGGTTAAATATTGTTTAGTTACGGTCTATAATAATACACGAGTTGGCTGTGACATTTAAACAATGTTCAGTTGTTACTGAGAGGCCTAAGGTGTGCCAAGACAAACATATTTTCAGTAACAAGCGATGGTACCGGTGTACCTAATAAAGTGGGCACTCTATATTCAGATATAATTGCACTGGCAAAAACTGTAAGTCCTTTGAAAAGCCTAAAGTTCAAAGTGTAACTGTAACTTGTGTGTGTCCACATTTACCTGGAAGAAGCAGTTACAGTGTCTGGAAATCTAGACTATCTTCGAAATAACATAACAAATAATGTCTACATAAATGTCCAGAGAAAACTTGACCTACTGATATTCAAACTTTAAAACTGACTGCTAATGAGAACAACCAGGTTACAGCAAGCTACCATTCCAGGCGCTTCAGGGTTTTTGCCCAACGACAGTGCGACAGGAGGCAAGAAATGTGGGCAGAAAGAGTTGGACAAAGCGCAACTAAAAGGTCCCCGGGGCCAAATCCAAACCAGGGATGTTGTGGTTGTAAGGTATGAGTGTTGGGCCCCAGGCTAATGTGACAATTCAGCACTTGCTGCATTCGCGATTAATAACAGATTTGATTACGACACGACAGACTGCGCAGCCACTTTTTCTCAGAGTCTCCATCCGCTCATCTGTCTGTCGTCAAGCGCTCCTTCCTCATTCCCATCCCACCCCTTCATCCTGCGAGTCCGTGGAACAACATTCCCCAAATAATGGCAGCACACAAATAAACAAGAGGCCTCACTTTGAGCTATGGATACCACAAGAGAACACAAAACACACAAACAGACACACTCATATAGAACTTCCTTGGCCTTGGAAAACAGAAAAACAATTAGGTAAGTGCTGAAAAGCAGGGTCTCTCTGCAAGTGTGTGTGTGTGTGTGTGTGTGTGTGTGTGCATGTTCATCGACAAGCCATGGCGTCTCCTGCAGCGCCTACATGCTTGTTTACTGGCAGTGGAACCACAGAGCGACACACACACACACACACACACACACACACACACACACACACACACACACACACACACACACACACACACACACACACACACACACACACACACACACACACACACACACACACACACACACACACACACAGAGGCTGCTTCTGATTAACAGACAGAGAGAGAGACATGATGGAGAACAAAAAACAATAGTGGTATAAGAGCCAGTAACACTTTGCAGTCCTTATCAGCAAATACACACACACACAAGTCCACTGCGGTTAATACATACAGGTAAATGCAGCAGTTAAGAATTGAAGCAGGTACACACACACACACACACACACACACACACACACACATTATATTAGTTATGTAAAAGAGGACATATTTTGTGATCGTCTGCCTTCAGACCACAAGTAATCTGTGCTGATTGCTTGTCGAGACTGTTGTACGCCGTCACAGCTGTGTGTGAAGAGGATTTGTTCTCTGGGAAATTCTCAGCTCATAGCATCCTCCGCTTCTAACGGCTCACAGCTCGAGTCGCCAGTGTGTTAAAGAAAAGGTAGTGGACTTCTCGCCGTGCTAATGGTGCGGCTCTAGGGACGGCAGTGTTGGTCGGTCCACACTGAAATATTTCTAGTCCAGTCAGAGAGATTGAGGAGAAATGACACAAAATCGAAGTTGTTTTAAAAGACTAAAATATTCGGGTCTGCATTCGCTGCCACTAGCATAACCCATCTAAATCTCTGACCACACTGCCGGTGGAGTTGCATTGTGGGTAATTTGTTTGTATGGGCCAGGTTTTGACAAGTAAGAAGAATATGTGGAATAAAAAAAAAAAAAAAAAAAGACAATATCTCTGTTTCTTCTGTTCAGATATTGACCCTTTTTGTTTTTTAACTGCCCATAATGAAAGTAATTCATGTACAGCTGGAACTGTGTCTGCGTGTGTTTTGTGTACCTGTTTGATGGCCGCCTCTCCTATCTTGTCCGAGTGTTTCCGGATGCTCTCCAGGAAGTCCCTCAGCTGCGTCATGGCCGTGTCCCGGATCTGGGTCCTCAGCTTGGGGATGTTTTCCGCCATGATGGAGCAGAACCGGTACTGACCCGCCCTGGGAAGACACGTGTGCTCCAGCTGCTCCAACGTCCGCAGCGCTGGGTAGTACCTGACGCACAAGAGCACCCGCTTCATTGATCTACTTATTGACTCATACGGGTAATTGATTTCTCATGAACTTAATTCACACGTGTGGTTAGTGTAAAGATCTGATTTTGCCTTGAATTTACTGCTTTACACAGCCAGTGTAACTTTGTAGCGCTGGACGGACGCCAATTAAACCTGTGACTGTCTGGTTAAGGGAGGAGACACTTGCAAAGCTAACACACAAACACACACACACACACACACACACACACACACACAGCAATGAAACAATGTCCTGGCTGTCAGATGTATGACTAAAAGCAAGCAGAAACACACAAAAGATAAACACAAAGCATGAGCGCACACACACACGGAGAGAGAAATAAATACACTCAGATACACCTCAGGGATCTTTGGCAATACAATATCCCCCCCCCACTCCACTGCATCTCTCACACACACACTTTCTCTCTCTAGGAGCAGTCGCTGTTGGCTGACCTCTCCCTGCTCTCTGCGAGCCCGGCAGCCGCAGGACAGAGAGAAGTAGAAAAACACACAAACAAAACGACAAATTTATGACCAACCAGACTTCTGTCTACAGGTCAGGCCAAGGGCAGGGAGGAGAGGGGAGAGGGGAGAGGGGAGGGGAGAGAAAGACACAGAGTGAAGCAATTTATGTTCCTATTCCAGGTGCTGTTGCTCCATCTAGTGGCTGGAAGTTAAGAAACAAGAGTCAAAGTGCATCATTCACTCATCTAGTTAATGTTCAAATGAATATTAAAAGGAGATGCGGTATGGAAAGCACATCGGTATATAATCATCAGACAGCATGGTAACCTGAAACAAACAAGAAAACGTTTGGTTCCTCCCCAAATATAACGACATTTCTTATTAAGCCTGTTGCTTCCTGTCGCTAATAAGATTATTTTTACTGTTTCACTGGAGAAAATAAACACAAGTCAAGAATTTTCCATCAGTCTTTCATGGTTTTCAGCTGATCTTTTTACACTGCTTTGTATAGTGGTTAAGTAACATCCATTCATGTCTTAAAGTAGACCCAGCATTGCCACTTCCTTGTGTGGGTCGAGAGCCAATGCTCCGACTCCCCTTTCCCCACCATTAAATGCCCCTAGGAGCCAGTTTTCATAGCCAAGGTTAAGCACCTCGAGGCCCCCCTCGTTCGCCTGCTGCAGGGCCCTGGTTACCCACATTTGAGTGCTGCAGTGAATCACTTAACGTATCCAAGATTTTTCTATACTCAAACTAAAGTTAAGGTGTTTGAATGCAGGAAAAAGTGAGATGTAAGTTGTAACCCCGAAAAAACTGAATCAGTAACATACCTTTTGAACCTCATCTGCTCCTGTAGTCTGCTGTACATCTCCAGGACTGGGGAAAGCAAAGAGGGATGAAGCAAAAGAACAAGGAAGACCTTTTAGGACTGCTCGGGGTATAAAAAAAACATGCCGTAGAAAAGGTTTTTGGAACTGTTTTGTTGTCTTTGTTGCTGCTGTGAAACTAGATCTAACTTTTGTGTTACCTGGTAGGCAGTGTGTCAGTTTGTCTATGGTGGTAGCGATGTTTCTCTGCTGCACTCGACACTGTTGCAGCTCCTCCATAGAGCTGGTGAGCTGAAAGAGGAGGAGAAAGAGGAGGTTAGTTGGTAAGACTCCAGAAACAGGTCCTAAATAGAGAACATTGCTATCTGTGAACCTGTGAGCTTACCTCTTTGCCATCATCCTGAAGACGCCTGTTGGTGTCGGTCACCTGACTCTGAGAGAGAACAAACAACAAACGGGTGAGAGGAGAGTATCAAGAATTAAAGTCTTTGCTAGGCGTTCCTCTCCATCCTCCCCGTCCCTCTGCTTACCTTCAGTTTCTGCGCCTCCCCTCGTACTTTGAGCAGCTCTGTGATGGAGTCCACGAACCCCTGGAAGTGATGGTTACACATCTTCTCGATCTCTCGGTCGTGGTTCCTGATCCGCGCGTCCAGCTTCTCCATGAAGAGGCCATGTTCCTGGCCGTCGTACACCGACCTGGAGAAAGAGAAAGAGAAGACAGCGGGTAAGATATTTACATTCTTTTTAACTCCTTCCGAAGTCTGAGATCACTTTTGATCTTTTTATTTTACCCCTAAAACCTGGATTTTTTTCCCCATTTTTGTTTAGTTTCTTCTCAATATTTTGACCTCAAGCAATGAATGAATGAATATTTTACATTTTTAAAAACAACTACGATGCTTCACTAAATTACATGACCTCAAGACTTCAATGTAGCATCAGCTGCTACATTAAAATCCACTTATCTGTATGCATTACAAGCACTGGAGAACTGAAACATCTCCAAAAGACATGACAGACAACGTAAGGAGAGAGTGAAGAGGCGGAGGAGAAAAAACGAGGAGGACTAACTTGAAGAGGAGTTTCTTACATTCTCAGTAACGCTGTACATTCATGGTTCACCCACTAAAGAGGAAAGGAGGAGGAAGAACAGGAGAGAGGTGTGGTGGGGCGTCCAGCCGGGGAATGGGTGCACGTACAGACCTTGTCCACCAGGGGGCGTTATTGCAACGCTCTTCAGCACCACACTTCCATACATTCACAGCTGGGAGCTGCTACCGACCCAGCAGTGAGTGCACTGGGGTAGTTTCCAGATCAATGCCTTGCTTGAGGGCATCAGTAAGTGGTGTGCGAAGGGAAAATCTTTCCCCAGCTCTATTCTACATGTACTATTTTATATTTAATAATACATGGTACATAAGTGTACACAGTACTGGTTAATGGACTACGGAGCACTTAAAGTTACAACACTTGTCACATCCGTCACATCCATCCATCCATCCATCCACCCACACACACACACACACACACACACCACACACACACACACACACACACACACACACACACACACACACACACACACACACACACACACACACACACACACAAAGACCCACACACCTAACCACATAGTTTTTAACTTTTGACTGAATATTAGCCGTGACAAAAACCAGCTATTACTCCGATTAATCTCAAGCCAAAAATGCCAAAACTTCTACGGCTGCAGCTTCTCATCGATAACTTTTATGTCGGTCGAACAAAACAAACTATTTAAAAAGGTGTCATCCTGGGCTGTGGGAAACTGTGAGGGCCATTTCTGACATTTTACAGACCAAAGGATTAATCAATGAATTATCGATTTGATGACTGATTTCACAACCATCAACAACTGGTTGTTTTTATTTATGTTTTTTGAAGGTTTTGAGCATCTCCTTCATTCTTCCTTTGTGCATTACATTGTGGAGCAGTTCATTCAAGCTTTAGGTATACATTCTGGCTTTTTTTCTTTTCTGCTGTGAATATCTACATACTCTGATCAGGTTTACGTGATGTGGTATCAAACTGGGACACAGCTAAAGAGTACGTCATTTAGTCTCATTTCTAATTTGCAAATAATTTAGAGAAATCTGAACCAGCCACTGTCCGGTTGGGAAGGTTCTGTTTAGTGTTCAGGCTTCCAACAAGCATTAGGGAAACAAAACAACACTCAGGGTGAGAGGCTTCATCAGGACGTTTCCTGCCTACAGGCAATCCACCAAAGTGCTGCTTCAACCTGACTAAAAGCCGAGTTAAAAAAAAAAAAACACACTGAGGGAAAGTGTTGCTGAGAGGGAGACGAGGACAGACGAGCGTTGTTAGGATGCTGTTCATTTAAATGTAATCTCTACTTTTCACAATAGTATTCCAGTGAAGACACGTGTATGGCCTTTTTTTTTTTATTATTATTTGATCTAACAGCTATTAGGGCTGCAACTAACCATTATTTCCTCAATCAATTCAAATCAGTCGGTCTGTGAAATGTCTTTAAATGCATTGTTTAGTCCGACCGACACTCCAATACTCAAAAGTGTCCCGTTTATTGTCAGGGAACCAGCAAAACCAGGATTCTTGCTTTAAAAAAAAGAAATAATTTTCGAATTGTTGAAGCTCTAAAATATAAAATATGTTTTATTTATTTGTCATTTATTATTAACAATGAATATGACCCTTATTCCTTTTTAATGTTGGCTTACTTTTGACATGTTTGTCTGGATTAACAGCAATATGACCCCACCAGTCCCAAAAAAAGGACCGTGAGCTAATCGGTTGGTTTAATGTCCGGTTGGATGTCACTGGTGGCTGTATTAGCCACTTCAGTTTAATTACGAGGGATTCAGACTATTTAATTAAAAACTTAAGATGGGAGTGAATTTTGGTAAAATCAGTAATCCGGGTCCCTCCCTACTTGTGAGCGGCTCTGGGAGTAAACTAGCTTCAGTTGGCGAGGTTTTAACTCAAGTTAGACGTCGGTTTAAACCTACAGTTCGACGTTTAAGCTGGTTCATTTATCACAGGATCAGGTTTACCTAATGGAGATGATTCGATGCTAAATTCACACACAACACACGGTGCTAATCTTCACAAAGTCAAATGTGTCTCTGTAGCCTTAAAAAAATAAAAACTGTATTGTCTGGGACGTCTGCCTGTTGGTTAAAATACCACGAAGAGCCCCCGAGATACCACAAAACGGAATTTCCGAGTTTCAACGAAATGCGTCTCCTTCCAAATAATTCATGAAACTGCTCTCCTGAGCACACAGATGTAGAAAAATAACATGAGAGGATTTCTTTGTATGAGCCTTCTGTGTAATAGTGATCACAGTTCTTCCTGTGTTCTTTCCCTTCCAAAAACAGCACACACACACACACACACACACACACCTGAACGCCCCCCCCACCCTTCCTCCTGTTGACCAGGAAATGCCCGACTTGTACAATAGACAGCAGGTCTGACGCCACAGAGAGCTTTCTTTAGACACAGCCACAGTGTGCGCTGACATCAAGCAAATACATTCACAGAAACAACAAATACTATAAAATGAGCATAATGAACTACAACAATGTGTGTGTGTGTGTGTGTGTTCACCGAGGTCCACGGTCCGTACACACACCGCTGCCCTCGACAAACACTGGCTGATGACATAAACATAGAAATGACATCATAAATAGAGTCAGTGAATGAGGACGTATGAACAACAGAGATCTTATTATACTGTTTGTATAGATGAGATGAGAGGGAGTCACATCCTGATCGATGAGTCAGCTGTTTTTAAGTAGATCCTAACTACGGCTGATCATCCGGATTAGTTTCCTCAATACGCAAACCATAATTACATTACATCATACAGTGGGGACAGTAATGGTTACTTCATTCTCCTGTGAAGTCTCCAAACAATAGCTGGTTTCCCCTGACAAGTTGAGTGAGCATGTGTGTAAGCAGCGACCGGTCCCGCAGCGCCTGGTACCGTCTGCCGCCGAGAGGAGACGAGCTCCTCTGTACATGTCTGTGTCTAACCGCTGCTGTGTATGTCCTGTATATATAGAACAGGATGGAGGAAATAAATCAGCTGTGTCCGGAGTTTAATCTGAGAGCTCACCGGATGATTCGAAGGGAGAAACAAAAACTATCTGCTACAGAAAATGATTGATTTCCTCTTATTGGGTGTGCTTTTTCTTGTGAAATACATTATACGTTCGCAGTTTAACGTGTCCGTCTCATGGCTGTATAACCCCCCCCCCCCCCGGTCACTGTTGGATGTTACAGAACAGGAAGCAGGTTTGGCTATCGAATAACATTAAGTGATGAAACCGATGTCATGTATCAGCACTTTCACCGTAAGAAGAGGTGGAGATGGCAAAATATGTTTTAAAGTGGATCGGTGGCGCAGCGTGAGAGACACGAAAACTCACTTCTTCCTTCCTGTAAACGTTTTTGTAACCGTTCTCTTTCTCTCTAATGCTTGCTGGCATTAATTAACATGAGTCACATGTGCCTGGATGACAAAACTACAGTTACAAAGGCGGATGAAGCTAGCAATGTTTCGTATTTCATGTCTGAAGACTAAAAAAGTCCTCAAACTAGGGGGAACATACTGGATACTTTCACCTCTTCAGGCCTCTAAATGTCCTTATAATGAGACACATTCAGGAAAGCCATAACCTGTGAGGAGGGGTCAGTGCAGATGAAACTAGCAGTTTGGCCAAATTCTGCATATTTACAATTAATCCCTGTACATTGTCCATTATTAGTAAGTTAATAGAGTAAATAAGTAGTTGCGTTAGATGCCGAAAGAAGGCTGGAAGGACGGATTTGTGGGAATAATACTTTGAAACCAAAGGGGCACTGACACGGAGAAGTTCATGAAAGCTGCTCTCAGTTATGACATCATTGTTAACAGCTGCCTCTGTCTGTGTGTGTGTGTGTGTGTGTGTGTGTGTGTGTGTGTGTGTGTGTGTGTGTGTGTGTGTGTGTGTGTGTGTGTGTGTGTGTGTGTGTGTGTGTGTGTGTGTGTTCCAACCGAGGACCTTTGGGGACCAGTTGCTGGCGGCCCGACAGCTGGTTAATAAGGATATTACTTAAGACGAGCACACCAACCCCCGAGTGTGTATGAACTGGTGTGTGCGGACTGATGACTCAGCGGGGTGTGTGTGTGTGTGTGTGTGTGTGTGTGTGTGTGTGTGTGTGTGTGTGTGGGCTGTAACAAGCTTGTGGTAAGTTACTCCCTCCTTTCTCTCACTAGTGCAACCCTTCAGAACCACTCAGGTCGTGTTTTTAATGTGAGAATATTCCACCCAGAGCTTTGCAACAGGCTGCAATCGGAGGACAGAGGACAGAGGATGAAGAAACTCATAAACCGTCTTTCGATTAAAAAGTGCCAACTCGACACGCACCAACAGAAGCAGGCCGTGACTCACACGGCAAGACCTTCAAACCACAAGCAGTCGTCACTTACTGCAGAGCATTCAGCACCTCTGAGGAAGACCATGGGATGATTGAAGTTGGACCTTGTGTTGAGAATGTTTTTTGTCTGACTCAATGGGAAGAGTATAGCTGACTAACATTCAATACCAGAGCTCACACAATGCTTCAAACACCTCCAAGACCTTCTGTCGTTACCTGACTCAGAAACACAAATGTTCTACTAAAACCCTGAA